TATATATATATATATATATATATATATATATAAGAATGGTCATAGGCTATTATACGAGCCCCAAACCACTCACTTGTGCCTAATTATTCGAGGACCGTCTTCATTACCGACAAACTGGCCATAAGGGGTTTCCAACCCATGACCTAAGCGCAAATAAAATATTTGTTCATTAGTGTTCGGCTCTTTTTAGCTCGAAATATTACTAATCAATTATATATATATATATATAATTTAATTGACTATAAGATTACAACGCTTTATGATAAATTAAAATTATTAATTTAAAAGATAGAATAAAAATATATTAGATTCTACTTAATGAATATATTAATAGAAATAATAAACTTAAATTTCCATGTGCTAAGGCTATCAAAACGGCTCTTTCTCGAATAGCTCATGTTCAACTCACTAAGTAAACTAGCTAAACATGAACAAAATATTTACACTCGATATATAAATGAACCGAAAAGGAATAAATTTTATACGCTTGATATATAAACGAGTTGAACATTAACGATAGTATTTTTTAATGACTCAAATATGAGACTGAGTCTAGGCTCACCCAAGTTCAACTCATTTGCACCCCAAAAACTTTCAAAGCCAAAACTTCTTGATTACAACCCAAGCTCCCAAACAACAATAGACTATGGTGGGTTGAAAAGGAAAAACATGATTATAAGGTAGCTATCAATTCCTAATAATTAGTACGGGTTTTAAGGCATATTATCTAGAACGAATATACCAACAAATTCATAAAAAGAGAGAGAGAATAAATCAATTGTTAAGATAGCTCTAATATTGGTTGGAAATCACAACATCCACCTCAAAGAGCGGCCAACATAGACGTAGCATGAAAGAATTAGTCATTCATTAAATGCCTTAGAATGGGGTCATGCCCACAGAGGCATCCAACAAAGATACCACACAATTTTGATCTATTTACATGTCTAACACTCAAAAATTACTATTTATATTTATAATCTCTTTATGTCATACATCCATACGTGAAAACAAAAATCAAAATTCAGTCAAGAACTCAACCCTTGAAACGCAGATCCCCCACCATCAATAGAAGAAACATCAATCTCATACAAATCTCATATCCCTGAAACCCTAATCTTCCTGGCACTGAAAACTTCTTGCCACTCTCGTCGGCGACATCAAACTTCTCGAGGAGTCACCCCTCATAAAAAGACAATTTGTCTTTTCATTTCTCCTGAATATCAATTTTATCTCTCCTGAAATATCATTTTACCCTTTCTTATCATAACATTTCCTATATTAGGATTAGGAGGAGGGCACTTTCGGTCCTTATATCAAAAAAGAGACTGATTCTGCCCCTACGACTAAACAAATCAATTCATTACTCAATAATCAAATCATCAATTGCTGATTTAAATTTCAAAACATTGATTTCACACTCCAAATTATTCCAACCAAAATAATAAATAAATAATAAAAAATAGAAAAAAATCAATTCCCTAAGCCAAAGCAAAACAAAAAATCGCTGCTTTGCAGCTACAAATCCAATATAAATTCTCGTATACAAAATCGCCAAATCAAGGACCCAAAAATAAAAAAAAACAAAATTGAGAAAAGAACTCAGCCCTAGATACACAGATCCCCCAGCATCAATGGAAGAAACATTAATCCCATACAAATCCCACATTCCCGAAACCCTAACCTTCCCGCCACCGAAAACTTATCCCCACTCCCCGGCGGCGACATCAAACTTCCCGGAGCCGCCATGCCCTCCTCCGGCGGCGACGCCTCCGGCGATGGCGTCGCAGTTTCCAAACCCACTCCCTCCTGGTTCTGCTCTCCCTTCCCAAAAACCTGCCGAGGAAGCAGAACATTCGAGACGGCGAACACCGCAACTGGATTTTGATCGTACACCGTTCTAGTAATCGTCGCCTGCACTAATCCCGTATCAATCGCCACGGATCCGTTCACTCTAGAGATATTGAGCGTAAACCACCCAGCCTGCGAATCCTCCGTCGCGATCGTCGGCTGAACCGGATTCACGATCGATTCCAGCGATCCAAGAGGGTAATAAGAATGAAGCACATGAAATTTGAGGACCGCTGCTTTCCTCTCCGCCGTTAGGGACTGCAGCCTCTCCGTGGCCGGTAATCCCGCAAACGCCTCATCCGTAGGCACGAAGAGGGTGATCCCCGCCCCATGCTCGTCGTTCTCGAATTCCTCCACGACTCCCGATGCTTCCATCATCGACGCCGCAACGTTGAAATCCCGGCCGTCGAGGAGCACTCGAGTGATGTTCAGCGCCGCCGGAGGACGCGTTTCCGATGCGGCGAGATCGAATCCGTAGGGCATTAGTAAAGCGTTAACCGTGAAGACGGAAATGTTGTACGGCACTGTCGTAACGAGTGAGATGACGGTGGCGTTGGAAGCGAAAAAGGGGACGGGTGAGCGAGCCGTGACGACGCCATTAGTGGGGTCACGAGTGAGATTGACGGCGCCCAGATTATTGGGGGCGCGGCCGGTGGTTTGGTACAGAGTGGTTACCATCTTGCCGGTAGGCGGAATCCGGTGGAGATCCGACCAGGAGAGGTATTCGAGGAGGACATGGTAACGAAGTACGTCGGCGATGTCGCCGCCGGCCG